CCCCCCCCAACACTGTATGTTTTCCATTTCTCCTTAATCTCTCAGAGGAGAGATGTAAAATGGGGGGTTGGGGGCTCCCGGAACGTGGTTGGGAACCCCTGTTGTAGACCATGAAATAGCAATTGATTTACAGTTGAAATACAGGTTTTCACAAAACAAAATAAATTATAAAATGATAAACCTCATATTTGAGCATTTAAACCATTTTTAAAGAAAAGGGATGAGTCAGAAGTATAAATTATTATATTAATTTATTTAAAACAGGGTTATGTGGGTGGACTTTTGCACTGGTCTGAACAAAAACTGCATACGGGATTATTGAAAATGCACATTCACTCCTTGCCAGTAGGAGCCACTTTTGGAACGGCAGAAATGTAGCAGTTTCCCTGGCTGTAAACAAAGCAGCGCTCCGCTCATAAATGCTACTTTATCAGATAAAATGAAAATGCCATCGAAACTTTTCTGAAGACAGTCAGTTCCCTTCAGAGATTCATTCATGAATGAGAAAAGTGTGAAAAAATATAGCCTATATTGACGAGGAAAGTCCATTGATGAGTTACCAGCGTAAGCCTGTGTGTCTGGGCTCATACACTCTCCAAAGGCTGTCTAATTGTAAACTTTAAAACACATTTATTTTTAGTTATTTTAACTAAAAATATAAATGAAACTGAAAAAATAATGAAAAGGAAATTATACATTTAAACACCTAAGGATAATTTCAACCAAAAAAGTAACTGCGTATGCGTCCTCTAGCCCAGTGTTTCCCAACATTTCTTTAGTCGCGGCACCCTTTGGAAATTTTAACAAATTTGTGGCACCCTACAAAATTAATTTTGTCACAATATTTGAATTTCTAACTTCGATGTGATAATTTGAAAAGTATAGATATTCGGTACAACAGGGAAGAACTGCAGAATATACAGTCAAACAGATATTTTTAATATTATAAAAAAAATGTGTCCATCAATGGTGGCAATCAGTAGGCTAATTTCTAATGAGGTGCCGCGGCACCCCGGTTGGGAAACACTGCTCTAGCCTACTTGGGTCCTTCTCATAAATGAGTAAGCGGCATTTAAAACAATAGACATGTAATACACACTGTTGCTCAATATTTAATTACAGCATAAGATGCATGATATTTTCATTTGCTACAAGCAGGATACACAAGAAGCACATTCAACGTGGACACGCAGACGGTTGTCGTGGTAATAAACACCGTGAACAGCAACCACTCGCGTGTCCTCGCTTAAAGCGCATCTCGTATATGAAAAGCATTATAGGGGGCCCTTGGCTTTTGGGGGCCCAAGGCAGTCGCCAACCTTTGCCTAATGGCTAAGTCTGCCTCTGTGTTCAAAGATATGGAAACAAACACATTTTTGCTTCCATAGTCACTTGTTATGTCAGTACTATCAATCGTCTTTCTTAATGTTCATTTGTGGGCTTTTCTCTGCAAATATTACTATATATTTAAACAAATTGATAAAAAGCACAACATCACACTTACACAATGCTGTTTGCGCAGCGTGTGCACAGCGGCAGCTTCTGTAAGCCGGGGATTGGCGCCAGAGGAGCTGTTATGGGGCTGCCCAGCTTTGGCACGGGGGATTTGACAGGGGAACGCAAGCCTCTGACACCATGTCTGTCCACGGGTGAGATCCCTGAAAGGAAAATAAACTCGAGTCAAGGGCACAGAATATTGTATGCAAGGATGCACATAAGTGGCTGCACATGCGTGACCAAAATAAAAAATGTGCTGGGTAAATAAGTTCAGATTCAGCTCATTTGCATACCGACATGTTTGACAGCTGTTAATGCACAATCAGCGTTAAGATTGACTGACTGTAATACTGTATAAAATTTCCATTTGAAATCAAAGCATAAATGTAGGCTACTTCATGTGCTGACGGTTTCAGAGCAAATCGCAAAACCAGTCAGTGACACTTAATTCATTAACGCGCTTCACTCGGCAGCGCTGAAACCATACTTACTTGCCAGCAACCTGCCAAAATAAAAGCTTGCTGATTTTAAGTTTGAAAATGTTGAAACTTCATTAAAAAGAAAAGAACATGTAAATATTAGCATTGTATTTTTAAAGTGTAGCCTGCTGTAAAATAACTGTATTTTTATTCAATACTCACTTTTTATTTTAAAATATAATAGTAATATCAGACTGTATTTATTGTTTTGTTTATTATTTTATGAAAAAGGGCAATAATACTATTACTTCTATTAATAATTATTTTATTTTTTATAGTTATATTTAATGGGTCACACCAAACCAAACCTCCAGGTGCTCTCATGAGAACCAGACTGAAAAACGTATGTGCATCCCTGCTTATATATTCATATACAGTAAGTAATCAACTATTCATAGGATCTGAGAATGGAAAAAGCTGTTTGTTGTAGTTCTTGGAAAGTGTCTTCTGTTTTGAGTGGACTTTGTAACCTTGCAGATCTTTATTTATTCTCAAACAGCAACATTACACACTAAGGTTGAAAAAGTGAAAAAGCATAATAGGACCCCTTTAAAGAAGTCGCAGATGGCATGAATTAAAATTTTTCAAACTTTTGAACAAAATTCAAGTGATAATTCAAACACTCAAATTCAATTGAATTTCCTCATTATGGGGCAGCATACAATTGTAGGAAATATGAACGGTGTTTAATATTTCATTTTCATAATCAATCCAGTAAAACACTGTCCTAATTTTAAAAAAATAACTAAACACTCAACTGATGAACCACTGATGATACAAACAACAAAGCAAATGCAAACATCATGCTATGGCAGGCACGTCAATCAACACCTATGTGCGGATCTTATGGGCAGTTCGGCTGCAATTTGACTAAGTAGTCATGGGTATTTTAACAGTTGTTTTGAATGGATGTCAGTGGTTTTAACAGCTTAATGGATCAACAGTCTCTCGGCTAATCTTCAACATGTTTGCCATTAAACAATCTAGTTTTGAGTTTACACCGAAAAAAATAGCTGTTTTATATGAAAATGGACAATTGGACATGGACAATTTTGCAACAGGTTGATTTGACCATATGCCACTTCTTATTTATTTGGTATCCGCAAACAGTGGTTGACTGTCGCACAACTCTGAGAGCAATTTAATGATGTCAAGGCTGTAATGCGATTTGTTATCAGGTCACAAGTTGACTGTTATGCTTTCTTCAATGACAGTGCTGTGGAGGTTGTGCGATATGTTAAAACGTGGGTGAGAAGGGGGATATTTGAACGAGACTATCTTCATTGAAATGTACAAATACAGTGTAATTCATATAAAACAAACAGTAAAAATATTACGGTGTCATTCACTTTCTGTTATTTTATCTGTATAAAAATAGTCCGTTATGCCAGCGCCAATAGCCTCAAGGGCAGCGTGCCAACATTTAGCACTGTTGCGCTTCGGGCGTCACGAGTTCGAGTCCCAGCTCATGGACCTTTCCCAATCCCAATCCCAATCCCCCACACTCCCTTCGCTTCCTGTCTATATATACTGTCCTATCATAATAAAAAGCAAAAAAAAGTCTGTTATGCTGTTTGATATGGTATCTGTTTTCATATTATTTTAATTCATGATCATAATCATAAACACACCGATTTGTAGAGCAAACAGTTTTACCATTTACTGCACTTTGTTTTTTCCCCCTAGTTTTTTACCTATAGCGGATAATGATTTGTAAGTCTCACACATTCAAAGAAAATGATTACTGGACTACCAAAGTTAACTGTTGCTCCTCCTTTCTCCTAAACCTCTCCACTAACTTTGTCTCTCCACTGCGTGTATTAAATGACAGTTTTGGGGGGTAGCGCATTACAAGTAATTTTTTTCCAAGTAACTTGTAAAGTAATGCATTATTTTTTAATTTCCAAGAAAATATCTCAGTTACTTTTTCAAATAAGTTATGCCAGTTACTTTCTTTTCCCATGTATTGACAGACAGCTCTCCTGTCCTCATGATGAGAGAAATCAGGAGTGAGTGCAGAGGCGTTGTGTGCGCTGTGTGAACATGATGCTACTGTAGTTCTAGACTAAATGAGAACATGCATTTATTCACCTAACTTGCACAAAAACAGATTCACTATTGCCCAAAATCAATAAAAACTGTGAAATGCAAACTCAGAATATGACGCAAACCTGCAATAATTAAATACATTAAAAAACACAAATATCCTTTATGTATTTAATCCCATTTTATTAACCAGTGTCTTTGCTGCTGATGTTCAATAATCAAATTCAACCACACTAATAAGCAAAAATAATTCTTTATTCAATCCAGTCAGTCCTATTTTTTATGCAATCCAGAATGGCAGCACAACTGAAAGGTTTATTTGAGCTTTTTGAATTTACATTTCCTTCAGCCTGAGGCTTATTCATTTCACTTTTGGTGTGAAAGGGCTTTTACATTTGCCAAAAATATAACTTTTTTATATTAAAAACAAACAAACAAAACCAGGCCAAATGAGAAAAAGTAATGCAAAAGATACGCAAAAGTAATCTAACACATTACTTTCCATAAAACGTAACTAAGTAATGTAATTAGTTACTTTTTTAAGGAGTAACGCAATATTGTAATGCATTACTTTTAAAAGTAACTTTCCCCAACACTGTCCCCAGTTATGCTGTTCCATTAATTCACATACAAATTCACTCTTCAGATAACATTTCTTTCATTTCTGTGTGAACTATTGTTTTGAAAAGTGAGAAACAACTCAAAATGTGCGCTCTGCAGCTGTCCCTGGAACAAGAGATGGCCGGAAATGAATGTCCTTCACACCTCAGTCCCAGGTCAGATACTATTCTCCGTGCAGACGTAGCTGAAAATCGTGGGTGTGTGTTAGCTTCAGGGCACGGCTGGGGCCAAATATGGAGCACAGCTGCCAAGGCCTCCTCCTATCTTCTCCGTTTCAAGCTTAGAACCAGGACTGGCGTAGCATGAGCTCAGTGGAGAAAACCACCCTGCTGCTGGATGAGGAAACATCCGAGAAAAAATTACGGATACATGATACAATGGTGCCTGCCTCCGTCATCTGACGGCTGCTGTGCCAAAGTGAGATCATTAACTCTTATTCCCAAGGACTGCTGGGACAGGTTACAACTCCAAACCTGTCAACGAATACCACTAATTACACTCTTAAACACTTGATCTCCGAGCCCTGTGGCTCTACAGGGCTTTAATTCAGAATGCGAGAAATGGCAAAAGTGTAAGTATAGCGCGGTCTAGAAGTCTCTTTATGGGATTTGGCTTAGACAAAACATATTTTTGGGCTTAAATGACATAAAGCACAGCGTTTTGGGAGGCTTTTTAGCCTGCAAGAGACTAGAGAGCGATCTGGCCCAAAAATGCAGTGCATTTACTGAATACATGTTTAAGTAGCATGACAATTTTAAAATAGTGTAGCATTTTTAGTAACAAGCAAATACTGATGTATTGTGATAAAACACTGCATTACAGTTTTGTTATTTTGCCCCTTTGTGTTTATGTATCAGATAAATAAAACTGTGGTTGCAAAAATAAACAATGTTATTGGATTGTTATACATTTCAAAAGATATTTCTCCTTAAGCAGATTTAATGTAGTTACTTTTTGTTACCAAACTTTTAAAAAAAAGAGTAGCTTGACTATAAACTGCAGCTTGTCATGAAACAAGCGACTCAAAACCAGCCGCAACAGTACATTTTGTTGGAGGTTTTATTTCTGTTTCTGCAGCATTGACCACTGTTCAGACTCAATGGTCCAAAATTCTGCCCCACGTAAATGTATATTAAACATGAAAAGCCACATTTACTAAATTTTACTAAATTTACTAAAGTACTAAAGTAAATTAGCTTGAGACCCATTAAAACGCAAATGGGAGTGTAAAGTTCTGCAGGTGCATTTACTGACAATGCTCAAATTAACACAGATGCAGCCAGATTCCATAATGACCAATGCAAACTACCAACAGCAGCGCAATCAAGCAGAGCCGATGGTAATCAGGTGCAGGTAATCTATTAACAACACAGGCACAAAATGGGTAAAGACATGCTTTTTTGGAGTGTTGAATAATGGTGCAAATACCAGTAAACTGACTACCGCAAATCACCTTGCATGCATTTAAATCCTCTCCTCCCATAAATGTTGTGTCTCAAATGGAAACTCCTACAAATGCATATGCAATACGGTTAGCTGCAAAGTGCACACTTTTACATCGCTAATGTATCACTGCGCATCAGTTTTAGTAAAAACTGACAGTAGTTTTTTAACACCAAAAGAGGTATTGCAAACTGCCAGTAAATCTGGACCCAAATGTTCTAACTGGCTGTTACTGTGCCATGTTGGGCAACATTTTCACTTTCAATATGGATGGACAAATTGCAAAGACTATTTACAATGAAAAGCAGATATACAGTGCTTAACATTGCAAGCATGCAAGCAACTCATCATTCAGTCAGTTTGAGATTTCATTTAAGGCCCCCACTTTAGAGTGACACAGCAGCAAATAATGGAAAATCTAATTTTGTTGGGTCTTTTGCATTAACAGGTTTCTGTTTACTATGATCAGCCCAAAAAAAAAAAAAGGATTTATTCCAAATAAGCTGCAAAAACTTGGATCCAAAATCCTTGTATGTCATTCCTTCTGTTTATTAATGTTTGAATATTTGGAAATATTTTTTTTACGTGAAAAGTGGACAGCCAAAATAGAAAAATAGAAGTTATTTAGTCTTAAAGGTACAACTGATAAAATCATAGGACCGGTATTAACATATTACTGGCAATGAACAATTTCAACATACATTCTGAGAGAGAAATAAAAAGTAAAACTGACCCCCATCCTCAGCTTCCAGGATTCCCTGCAGATATTTAAAGGAGCCAGATTGTTTGGGAGCTGACACAGGTTCCTCATAGTCCTGAAGCATCCTGTAGACATCTGACTGTGTGTCGAAACCGTTGTGGTCGCCTGATGAATTCACTGACAGTTCAGGGCTGAAACTGAGAGGAAAACACATCCAGATCTCTTTCTCTTCCAGAAACATCTGCTATTGCCATATGTTTTCATACTGAGCTAAACACTTTTTCAGTGCATCAGGTTAATTATAAAAGCTGAAGGAATGGAAGCCAATGTAAGTGCTTAAAAATCAATCAAAACACATTTGTTAAAAATCTACCAGTCAAAAGTTTGAACATAAAGCTGCATAGTAAAGCCGACCTCATACGTCATCCGCCCGGAACTGCTTCCGTTTACAACAGTGAGTGCAAGCTACATTAAAGTGATTATTACATTTTGAATATGTATATTTTTCTTACAAAAATGCATCGATTTGCTACAGGAGGCCTTTGTTCACCCCCCAGAGCCGTGTGAGACACTTTTTTTTATGGATGGGCGCTTTTTATTTAACTTCTTTTGGACTGATGCATGCAACACCCGCTGAGTGGCATTAAACAGCTTGAAAGAGCAAAGACAATTTTTAATAAAACTCCGACTGGATTCGTCTGAAAGAAGAAAGTCATATACACCTAGGATGACTTGAGGGTGAGTAATTTATGGGCTAATTTTCATTTTTGGGTGAACTAACCCTTTAACCTAAATCACAGCAGCGTCCATCTGTGAAGGATGTAGGCTGTCAAACACACACAACTGTTAGCCAATCATAGCAGTGGCTGTTTACTTCCGAGTCTACAATCAGCCACACCTATTCAAACAGAGCGTTCTGATGAGGGGTCAAAACAGGACAGAAAATAGCCTATTACTTCTAGATTATGATGTTTTTTGATGTAAAAATCTTGATAACATTAGAAGTGGACCTCGAAGAACAGTACAAAATAATAAATAAAGGGCACTTCATGACCCCTTTAAGTACAGGATTTCATAAACAATGGATTTATCATCTTCAGAGTAAACAACGGGTTTTACAAGCAACCTAATGCTTCCCGATCACCCATATCTATCATACAAATACTCTAGTGCTTCAGAAAACTCAAGGGTGTTTTGCAAATATCAGTGCAGCAGATGTTCCCTGAAGACTCTTCACTCACAATCCAGTTCTAGCATGAACTCGTTTTTACATAACAATAGGCATGAAGAGCTGTAATATCTTTAAGTCTGAAGTGTTTATTGTTGTGAAGTGCTCTGAGCGAAGACAGGACCTGCACTGTACATTTCCAACGTGGGAAAGATGCTCAAAATTGCTTCCTTGATAAATCACTGTTTCTCTCAGCCTTGTGAGGATCATAAATATCAGTTTCTGGCCGTTGCAATAGCAGTGTGGTTTGTGTTGGCTAGAAGTTAGCAGTGTACAGTTAATGTGAAATCAGAACTGACCTAATTTACCTTATGTGCCTCGTCTAATTGTTATTCCAAAAAAAACACCTTTATTCCTGTGCATGTGTGAATAGCTGTAAAATGGCACACCTGTGGGGGGAGCCCAGGTTGAGGCCTGCCATCTGCTTCGGTAGGGCACCATTTCCATTATTTTGTGAATACAGGCCAGCTGGATTGTTGTAGGTAGGTCTGGAGTTGCCGTTATTGTAGGGCACACCCCCTGTGATGGGACTCTTGGGGGACAGACTCTTGGGAGTGGGGCTATAGCCACTGCTGATTGGTCGAAAGGTCTGTGGAAAAAAAAGTGATTTTAATTCAAAAAAATTCCAGAGCAACTTATCCAATTTTTACTAAAAGCTTATCCCGTTTGAATTTTAGGTAGCCTATCTAATGATGCACCCTGAGCTGGTTGAAAATATGTGACGATTGAAGTCGGTTGAGATGTAAAACAAATCGCGATACAGTTAGGAGTGGGGGTTTATATGAATGTACTGTATCTCTAAGTAAACTGACTGTCTTCAGAAAACTTCACCTTGTCTCTGTATAATGCATATTAAAGTAGTGTTTATAAGCGCAGCTGTAACCTAGGAAACGCTGTATCGCTGCTGTTCCATAAGCGCCACCTGCTGTCAGAGAGTGAGCTTGGGTCTCATTCAGTTTGCCTGCTTTTATGTAGTTTTATGTAGCATAATTTCACAAAGCTAAAGTCAGACCTTTTTTTGTCTGTACAAGGTCCATTTTCTGCTGGAAAATGTGGACATGTTGATATTGAAATTTTTTTTTAAGAAAAATCCAAGCTAGGAAAGAGCATAAAACCTATGTTTATATGAACAGATATCTTTTAGTTGTATTATTTGTTTATTGATTTATTTGATTTAGGATTTGTTTTAAAAAATGTTTTATTTGACATAAAAGATATTTAAATTTCACAAAGAAATGTGCAGCATTTTGTCTGAGAAGTAATAAAGAAACACTCGTTCATTTATAATGTCTTAAATTGCATTTTGTTAAAAAAAAAATTTATTGAAAAAAAAAAACAGGATTGTGAATCGTATTGCATTGTGAGCTGAGTGAATCGTTACATCCCTACCGAATTACGATGATTGTACGAGTCCAGCACGATCCATGATTGGAACAGTATAACAGCCTTTGACAGGTTTACAGATCTGACATGCACCCAATAAACAGCTTAACTGTTGCACACAAATTCCCATCATACACATTCACCTCTGGTCAACTCAGCGCTCGAGTACAAGTTGTAGCAGCAATTTTATGACATCAGCAGTCATTTAAAAAAACGTATTTGTGTTATCCTTCGCAGATGGAGTAGAGATGCTTTTTTTTCTGCTAAAGAATTTGTCTGAAGTAGTGTACTTGAAGGCTAATTCTGAGAAAAGAAGAAACTTTATCCAGTATGAATGACTACCAAATTCAAAACTCCGCATGCCGGAAATACCAGGCCAGTTAATCTAATATATTATATTTCCCTATATGAAATACATTGTCATATGAAGTAAATATGCTATCTATTAGAAATGGGAAGAAATGTAATACATTCGCGTATATCTTTAGCCTATACCTATGTATATTTCTGTCATGACAACTCTCGGAGGGATTGGCATGGTAATGTTCATGACAATGTTAATGTATTTGGTCTTGGCGGAATAGATCTGCTACGCTGCTGCGGCAGAGCAAGTACCGAGACTTGCTACTGCCAATACATCCACAACATGCTGCTGTGAGCATGTAAGAAATATTGCTGCTGCAAATATGACATACATGAAATAACCCCCATATAGCATACGGGGAATGGGGAAGGTATAGGGTTTCAGAAGCAAGCTGCACTGCTATGGCAAGCACTATCATATATTTGAATGTTGAGCAGCGAGCTCATTGGCTACCGATACAGGAGAAAACCAATCAGCTGTGCCATGTGATAATGATGTCATTAGGTCAGATTAAGTTAGACCTATCGGACTGCGCCATCTAGAGTTTCATGCCAAAACTCTGTATTTATTATATGTGTAATACATTCTAGGACATGCACCTGACATGCATATGCCATGCACATGTACATCCATCCTAAAGTACATACACAGATTATTTAGAGTCAACTGTTTAGAGTCAATTCCAAAATGCATGGCTTATCCTACTGTGTTTTACAAAAAATAAGAGTATTTGCGTTTGGAACGAGACAAAGGTGAATAAATAATTACAGAATTCTATCTTCTAGATTCTATTTTTTATTTGGTAAATAAACAATCCCAAGAGTCAAGCTGTGGCATCTAAGCAGTACTCCGTCTTTCAGCTCCACAGCAGGGGGCAGAAAGATTCGTCTGCAAACCACATTTTCATCTCTTTCAGAAAGAGGTTCTGTTTTCTGTTGGCAATGAAAAACATCTCACATCCCTCTGTATTACGGTACAAAATGTTCCAAGGGCAACAAGTCAGTATGAAGATTGCATTTCTCATTTTGAGTCGACAGAAGCCAGCTGTTCTCAGTCGCTCATTTTAAACAATGTGTGAGACTATTTCTATGCAGTAATATGAATGATTTAGTAGGTTCATATGCATTTTATCATGTTATTCGTTCCCTTGAGGGCCACTTATAATGTTAAAAACAGAATATTTTGCCACTGTATCTTTGTCCTCACTGAATATGAAATAAGATTTTAGTTTTAGTTCCAACATCGCCATCCAGCTTCTGTGCAAAAATGCATGGCAGGTTTACAAAACAATCCATGTGGCGCTTGAACGTAAAGATCAGACTGAAATTATCAGGGATAAAAATAAACTTGCTAATGCTAATTTTTCATCCAGCTGACATCAGAAAGATGCAGAAGTTCTTGCAGGTCATCTCAAAAAATGGTAGTTAGTTTTTTTAATGTCCACAAAGTGGAAATTTGTCTTGCTCTTTTTTTGTATTGAGGAGAAATAACTGAGTTACAATATGCTGTCATAGCACATCAAGCTCTTTTATCTTAGAAGACTGTAAAAAACTGCTGTCAGAAAACTTGCGCTAATGAAAATATTACAATTTCCAAGAGGAGAAACACTGTACAGCAGCAACATTTAAAGGTTCTGATGCTTTCACTGAATGAAAGTTATTTTTGCATTTGACAATTCTGATCTTTGCTTACGTTTTATACCTTCAAATAAATATTCAGAGCATACAGAAACATACAGTGGGTACGGAAAGTATTCAGACCCCCTTCAATTTTTCACTCTTTGTTATATTGCAGCCATTTGCTAAAATCATTTAAGTTAATTTTTTTTCCTCATTAATGTACACACAGCACCCCATATTGACAGAAAAACACAGAATTGTTGACATTTTTGCAGATTTATTAAAAAAGAAAAACTGAAATATCACATGGTCCTAAGTATTCAGACCCTTTGCTGTGACACTCATATATTTAACTCAGGTGCTGTCCATTTCTTCTGATCATCCTTGAGATGGTTCTACACCTTCATTTGAGTCCAGCTGTGTTTGATTATACTGATTGGACTTGATTAGGAAAGCCACACATATATATATATATATATACACACACATAATATATTCATATTTTTAAAATATAAAACAAAAATATATTGTAAATATATTTAATTTATTTCAGCATATACTGTACATGGAACCTTTAACAATTTTGGAAAAGCATGGAGGCAATATGGATACAAAACCTCCCAAAAATCAAACTTCACAAAGCAGTTCAATTGACATCAGATGCCACAAATTTACAGACTCTGGTCTTGAAACGAGCAAGATTGGTTAGACCTGAACAGCAGATCATTTATCATCATATAAACATTTGTTATTTTATAATTACAAACATTGTTTGTTTTACAGTATTTGAGCAATGATTCCGCAACTAGCTGATTAACACTGAACAGAAACATTAAGGTCATCTAAAGTATATAAAAATGTTAATACTTGAAAACAATTACAATGCAGGCCAATACAGATTGTTCTTTTACTGGGAAGGAAACATAGAGACTGAAAACTGAAAACCTCTAAATTGAACTAGACCAACAAATAGACTGCTAGTCCTGCTATAGATAATGTTTACAGCACTGTTGAGGACGCAACATCCAGAGGCATTTCTATAGAGAAAACATTGGCAGAAATCTTCTTGTTGCTATAAAATAGCCGTTGAAGACCTGTGTTATGATGCATGCTTCTTTACTTCAAACGTTTGCCACAAAAGGGTGTAACTGCAATAAAAATGGTAGATTTACTAGTCTACACATCTGGTGCATAGCTTATAAAAGAGCCAGTTTTGTAGTCTAACACTGAAAACCATTCAATTGTACCGCTGTACCTTTTTAACCATAAATTGTCACTATATAAGCTTACATTTTTGTTATTTAATAAATCTGGATAAGGCTTTTGTCTCATTAAATTGATTTATTTAACCTATTCTGCAGTACAGTGAATGTAGAGGAACACTGAAATAGCAGCCGTTGAAACAAACTCTCCTTTTAACTCTCCACATTTAAATATGTATTATTAAAGAAATAAGAATTTATATTTTGTTTATTTATTTTTACATTTTTTATTTATGCTATTTACTTTTACTTTAGTGCAATTTAAATTACTGTTATGCAAAAAAAAAAAGATAAATTATTATTATAAAATATTTGGTAACACTTTACAATAAGGTCCCATTAGTTAAGATTAGTTAATGCATTAGAGCATTACAGTTAAAGAATTACATTTGTTACACTATTCATTCATCTTGTTTATTTCTGTTAATAAAAATAAACGTACAACTTTTGCTTTTAATAATGCATTAGGTAACAGGATGCAGTTAACTAATGATAACAAATGAAATCTTATTGTAAAGTGTTACTAATCATCAACAGTATTTGTCGTACTGCATTTTATTTATTAATGCAATTACTACTTAATGAGAATTTCCAGAGAATAATGATGACTCAAAAGATGAGGTACAGTGTCCTCATCAGGGCGATGCAATAAAAAAATGCAAAATTTAATTTCTTGTTTTTCTTTTTGAATGAAATACAACCTGGACATGTTTTGTAAGATTCAAACAGACAGCAATGACTTTCCTAAAGTAAACTTTGCAGGGTAAAGCTAGTTTCCTCATAATCATCAGTGAGGGCCCACCAGAAACACAGAAAGACCAGGAAAATATTTATGAAGAGTGTTTGTGTCTGCTCATAAATCCTGACCATCATCAGGTTTCACTGACCTGTTTTACAATGCTATCCCAGCATGCCCTTTGGTTCTGGGTGACGGCCCACAGAGCCAGAACTTTCAGAACCATCCAAAGTGCCCTGCTACAGCAGCAGACTGCTAGAAATAAACTGAATAAATCTTAACGGACCCCAAACCTACTTTTATTAATTAAGGCTTGCTGTGGGGAAATGACCCTGATTTATGGAGGTTGATATCGACTTGAACACTGCAAGGGAGATATAGAAGTTAAAGGGAAGACCTGATGGAAACCATATGGCTGCTGTTGACAAGACTAAAAAAAAAAAAAACACTCCCAACATCAGCCCCATAACATAACATCACCAGCTCACCATCAAATAATACAGAGCAAACTACTAAATATACATTCAAAAATTATGCAATTTAAGACTTAAGATTTAATTAAGCAAAATAGGTTACAGTACACAAAATGCACCATACATTGCAAGATATTTGAGATAAAATACATAAAAATGTATATACAGTTTTTTAAGTGACTATTATTTATTCCTGTGGTGCAAGATTCTTCAGAAATCATTCTAGTATGCTGATTTGCATATCACATTTCCTATTATTTTCAATGTTGAAAACAGTTGTTGCTGCATAATACTTTTGTGGAAACTGTGATACATTTTTACCATTCAAAGATTTAGGGTAAGTAGGTTTAAAAAAAAAAAAGAAGAAGAAAGAAATTAATACTTTTATTCAGCAAGGATGCATTAAATTAATCAAAAGTGTCAGTAAATGTGTATAATGTTACAAAAATATATCTGTTTTAATGATGTTCTTTTGAAATGTATATTCATAAAAAATCCTGAAAAAGCAAAAATTGTTTCCATCATAGACACTAATAAGAACCATTATTAATAATTGAGCACCAATGATAACTGATAATAAAAGAATGATTACTGAAGGATCATCAAACTGTAATGATATATTTTTGTTTTTACTGTATTTCTGATCAAATAAATGCATGCTTGATGAGCAGAAGAGACTTCATTTAAACATTAAAAAAATCTAAATTATTTCAAACTGATTCTAAGTATAATCAATAATGGTTTGATAATGATTAGTCACGTAACTGGAAAAGTACAAATAAAAACGGGGAACACCAAGAATTAAACTGAATTTTGAGAAATAATAATAATGTATTTATTAAAAAAAACAAAAATTAGGGCTATATAAGAGGGCCTTAAAAGCCTGGCGGATCACAGGCAATGTGCAATTTTGTTCCATTCATAAAAGAAATTCCGTCTCATATTACAACTCTGAGGTAACAAGAATTCCGAGCAATGAAACAATACCTCAGTTATGCGCTGACCTACACAGTCTGGGTTAAAATACAGCCTCTGAAAAATTCTTTGGCTCTACCACATGCTTGGCTGTGTCTACTTCCATTGGAAATGACGTGACTTGTTCTATCACTATTCTTACAGACTTTCAACATTCATACTTTCCAGTGGCCATGGCAGAAGCCACAGTGACTTACATGTCAGCATGAGGCACACATCTGCTCTGGAAAACACACTTTATAGACATTATGACATACAGCCACCAAATGTGAATGTGATTTTACTGAAGATTTGTGCAATGCCCAACCGATTCCAATGTCAGGGCCAAAAACCATTTCAGACCATCTGTCTCATGTACCACAAAATATCTGAAATTCACTATTTTTCATGACATGACTTAATAGAAAGAAAGCTTCAGCATCATGTTGAGAATGTATGTTAGGTTGGATGAATTTAAAATCAATATTGTAGGATAGTTGGCCCAAAATTGAAATTTGTGTTGTTCCAAACCTGTATGAGTTTCTTTCTTCTGTTGAACGCAAAAGAAGATATTTTTAAGAATGTTGGTAAGCAATCAGTTGCTAGTAGCCATTGACTTCCATATTATGGAAAAAAATACTATGGAGTCAATGGCTACCAGCAACTGATTGGTTACAGATGACAGAATTTTCATTTGTGGGTCAACTATCTCTTTAAATTCCAGCAAAAAGTCATCTTTGCTTTCCAGAATATCAACCAAACAGCACATCCCCATTTAGCACCTTTAGACTGTACTGTGATACAGTGGGTATAGAAAAGAGTCACCACCCTCTTTAAAATAATGACATTTTGTTGCTTTGCAGCCTGAAATGAAGATGGACTCAGTGCAATTTATAACACCCAAGTGAAAGACATAACACAAACATGTCCGAAAAAAATAAAAAAAAAACAAAATCACAAGTTGGAAAAAGGATCACCCCCTCCTAAAAATGACTTGTAAACTCAATCAGGTGTATCTCATCACCTTCTCAATGGTACACAAAGCCATTTGACTTTCAGCTATGATCAGCTGTACTCATTTTGATGAGCTCAGCATGAAAAGAGCTTCCCTGGAGCATTTCAGTCCTTGGTAGTGCAACTGAAGCAAACAATCAACTATGAGTGGCAAAGCACTGTCAAAAGATCTCCAGGATAAAGTTGTGGACAGGCACAAGTCAGGAGATGGATACAAAAAAAAAGGCCTAGAAGCACAGTGAAGTCTATTATTAAGAAGTGGAAGGTATTTGGTTTAACACAGACCCTCCCTGGATCAGGACGTCGCTCCAAACTGGATGAAAGAGCCAGGAGGAAACTGGTCAGAGATAACACAGACCCTCCCTGGATCGGGACGTCACTCCAAACTGGAAGAAAGAGCCAGGAGGAAACTGATCAGAGAGGCGACCGAGAGGCCTACAGCAACTCTGAAGCAGCTGCAGGAAAGAGTGGTCATTGTGTGCATGTGACAACAATATCACAAATTCTCCACAAATGTGGCTTGTATGGTAGGGGTGCAAGAAAAAAAGCCCCTCCTTAAGAAAGGCCACATGCAGTCATGACTGAGCTTTGCCAAAATGCACCTTGAAGATTCTGATGCAGATGAGACTAAAATTGAATTCTTTGGTCTCAACACCAAATGATATGTCTGGTGGAAATCCAGTACAGCTCACCATCCAAATAACAGCATTATTCCAGTAAAGAATGGAAGTGGTAATATCCTGTTATGGGGTGTTTCTCTGCAGCAGGGACTGGAGCACTTGTCAGGATAGAAGGAAAAATGGATGGGGCAAAATACCGTCAAATTCTTGAGGAAAATCTGCTGCCCTCCGCCAGAAAGTTGTGAATAGGGAAGAAGGTTTACCTTCCAACATGACAATGACCCAAAGCACACAGCAGAACTGAGCACACAGTGATTGAAAGAGGAAAAAGGTGAATGTCCTTGCATGGCCTCGTCAGAGCCCAGACTTAAACCCCATTGAAAATCAGTGGAATGACTTGAAGACTGCAGTCCACAAACGTTCACCATCAAATTAACTGAACTCGAGCAGTTCTGCAAAGAAGAGTGGGCAAAAGCTGGTTCAACAAAATACTGACACAAAGGGGGTGATCCTTTTTCCAACTCAGTGATTCATTTTTTTTTTCTGACATGTTGGTGTTATATCTTTCACTTGGATGTTATTAGTTGCACTAACTAAATACAGCTGGATAAAACAAAAACTGTATAGGGAAAAAGTCAAATCAATTTGACTAGAATGTTTCACAACATATATTGTTTCAAAGCAGATCACAGTGATATATATACGTTTTTAATATATTTGACCATTTCTAAAGAGCCAAATAAGCATGCATTCATTTCAATAGATGCACCTTCCTTGTAAATGCATCTGACCTGGTTAACTATCACTCACATTTTGGTTGTCAAACTAAAAAAATGTGTTCACTTCATTGACTTATACCATACATGAAGGTGCCATGTGTCACATTATTAGTTAGTTTCCACAAAGAAACTGTTGCTACTTTCCTTTTCAATACTATAGAAGCAAGTTTCCGTCATAGCATACAAATGATCAAAGTAATTGCGACTTTTTATCTAACAATTCAGACTTTTTTCCCTCGCAAATCAGAATTGAATATAAACTCAGAATTGCAAGATATAAACTCTTTTAAAAAAAAAAAAAATAAATAAAAAAATAATATAAAAATTAAAAATTATTTTTTTCGTGCAATTCTGACTTTACATCTTGCAATTCTGTTTTTGTTTCTACCACTAATTAAAAATGAAAAAGGTATTTGCGACTTTGTATCTCACAATTCTGACTTTTTTTCTCGCAGTCGTGTTTATAACTCACAATTCTGAGTCTATTTTGAAAAAAAGAGAGAATTAAAATTGTAACAAAATCAGAATTGTGAGAAAAAAGTCAGAATTGAGAATTTTTTTTTTTTATCCTGTGTCAGAAACAAGGTCCATACAAAACAGATCAGAAGACAAAACATAAATATATTTGACTTCAACTGGTCCTCAAATTTCGAAGGTGGCTTTTGTAATGTTATTTATTTATTTATTTTAAGATTTAAAGACTCATTTGTGACCCTGGAACACAAAAGCAGTCTTAAGTCGCTGGGGTATATTTGTAGCAATACGTCCTATCCTAACAAACCTTACATCAATGGAAAGCTTATTTTTTTCAGCTTTGAGATGGTGTATAAATCTCAATTTCAAAAAAATTGATTGGTTTTGTGGTCCAGCGTCACATTTCAGCATTGTATAGTTGTTTATATTCCTGTGAATGGTCAAGACAGCTGCTGCTCGTCAAAGAAACATCTGTTGATCACAACATGCTCACATGTGAAGCCAAAAGAATTATGCTGCTCCAGAGAAGCATCTGCTAAATGCCTTGAATTAAAACGTAATTTAAGCTGTGAGGGTTTAAAAGCATCCCATTATACATTATATCTATGCCAACAGCCTTTATACCTGTGACTCAGACTCCAGTGTGCCGGTGAATGGACTTGTCTTGTTTTCTTCTATTCCAGTTGGAGTCCAAACCTTTCCAGATCTAAAAAAACAAAAGCAGTGAGGTGAGTGAAGCCATATAGCTGCATACATGAGTGAAAACAGTCTGCCTGTTTATCTACAACTGATAACGTTATTGACTGATATCAGTGATCAATGTCCTTGCTTGTCATGAAAATTTCAAACAGCATAATGGTCACGTTAAATGGTAAAACTAAAGAGATATTGAGTATCTTTTGACCAAATGGACGAACAAAGACGGCGGTTTTCCTCTGCCCCCTTTCCACTTACACCTACATGCACACAGCCATATGCAGATCTGAGCAACAAAGAAACCTCTGTGGTCCCTCCCTCCCTCCCATAATGGAAACTTCATCACTGGAGCATGAATGCACCCCCTTCTGAGTTGGCTTGGATTTGGCAGGGTGAGGCAATGACTTAGAAATGAATGTCAAAGGGACTTAGGGTCATCTGGATGTGACTGATTAAAGGATGTTTTCCATATCATACCCACTCAAATAAAGATACTTTTAAATGGTTTTACTGTAGTTGGAACATTTTTTTTTATTGTTGTATGTAGGGCTTGGTGGTATGACCACCACTCTATATAACAGGAAACATATATTGGGCAGGAAAGCTTTATATTATTTTCCCATGATGTAAACAGAGCAGGAAAAATCAAGACAAAAGCTGCAGAGGCTGCATCCTCCGGACGCATTTGTAGGCGGTATACATCATTTAAGAAAGGTAACCATATTAAAATCGACTGTTACTCCTCGTGAGGTGTAAAATGCTTACTTTGCAATCTAACGATTACTTTTCTTAAATGAGACCGCCTCGATGACGTATGCGGCCAACAAATACGACCTCCGGAGGACTTCCGAAATGAGATTTAATGAGTATTTTGGGTTGCCAAGTAATGTCACAACTTTACAAATTAAAAATGGAATTGAATTGAAATGCAGTCAGAGGTGTGAGCCTTTTTTAAAATGATTTTACGCTGATGCAGATCATTTAGTTGTGATGATTACACACGTGGTCAGAATTGTTGGTACCCTTGGTAAATATGATCAAAGAAGGCTGTGAAAATAAATCTGCATTTTTAATCCTTTTGATCTTTTATTTAAAAAAGTCACAAATATCTAACCTTTCATTGGAGAATAAGAATTTAAAATGGGAGGAAATATCACTATGAAATAAATGTTTTTCTCTAATACACATTGGACACAATTAATGCTACCCTTTTATTCAATACTTTTTGAAACCTCAATTTGCCAAATAGTATAGGAGTTTTCTCCTATAATGCCTGATGAGGTTAGAGAGCACCTGACAAGAGATCAGAGACAATTTCTCCATCCAGAATCTCTTCAGACCCTCGTTTGAAGTTCCAGTCGTGTCTGACAACTGAATATGCTGGGGATTGTTTTTTGGTGAAAGCATTTTCCTTTCTTGATTTTTTTTCTTGAAGCCCTCCCAAACAACATGTGGTGTAGGTGCTGTTTGATAATATTTTTAAGGTTTTCTGACCCTGAGACTCAACTATTTTCTGCAGTTATCCAGCTGTGGTCCTTGGAGAGTCTTTAGCCACTCAAACTCTCCTCCTCACCGTGCATTAGGACGATATAGACTCTCAAAAAGCTCAGTTTGCGTCCAGAGCTGGTTGACTCCCGACACTGGTAAAAAAAAAAAAAAAAAAAGATCAAAAGGATTAACAATGCAGATTTATTTTCACAGCCTTCTTTGATCATATTTACCAAGGGTACCAACAATTCTGACCACGTGTGTACCTTTTGGTTAGTGTCCAAATTCCAAATAAAAACAGAAAATATAATCAAGTATTTTTCATTCTAAAAGTATTTATTTTACTGGATTTTGTTTTACAAAAAAAATAAAATAAATTTTTTTTAATATCATGATACAGTGTATATGTGTGACTCACTACACCATAAAAAATATATATATTTCCAAGATTAATGGAGTATGTTTTACAAGAAAATATTATTTCAGTTTTTATACATCAAATTTCCACATTTAATTTATTGTCTTGCCAAATTTGTAGAAATTGAAAATGGTAATTTCTTAATAATTATTGGGGAAATTTAGCAATTTCTACAAAATTCACACGAGACACATGGCAAATAAACAGTCATACTCTTAGTACATCAACAACGTGAAGTATTGTGTGTTGAGGAATGAGAGGAAAATGAGAGAGGCAGATGCAGTGGGCAGAAATGATGCACACAATGTACCATTTTGTTTCCACTCTTTCTCCATTATAATCAAGCAATTTTCTGGCACATAATTATGCATTGGGAGGCTGTTCAAAATCGGTCTTCTATCAGCACGACAATGAAACACATAAATGGAGACTGACCTCCTGATGGGGACAAATGGGATTTTTCTCAACGTGATCTCATGAGTATTTGTATGTAAAGAATACATCATAAGAAGAATGGCATCTATGCTAATAATAGTCTCTTTCATTCATTCATTCATTCAGATCCAGTCTGTATCCAGTCCAGATAGTGGATCAGCACCTAGAGACGGCCTCTACAGCCCTGAATGTCAGCGGAGACCACGTCAACTAGATGCGCCCCAGAGACAGATCCCCTGAAAAAGACCTCATCACCTCGACAACCATCAGCACAAGACCACGGGAACCAGACGAGTCCTCTGCACCTGTGCTGAAGCCTGGAATTAAACCACGCCATGCTGGTTTCGTCTGGCCAGAGGAGAACTGGCCCCCCGACTGAGCCTGGTTTCTCCCAAGGTTTTTTCTCCATTTTTGTCACCGATGGAGTTTTGGTTTCTTGCCACTGTTGCCTTTGGCTTACTTAGTTGGGGACGCTTGGCTGATTGCACAGACACTATTGGAAGAAAGCTGAACTGGATGATAACATCACTGAACCATCAATGAACTGACTTTAGCTGAAAAATGACTCTGTTATTGTCTTATTGCATCATTGACAAACTATTTTCCTGTTTGACTTTGTAAAGCTGCTTTGACACAACCAGTATTGTATATAGCACCATACAAATAAAGGTGACTTGACTTGACTATGTATTTTATGTAAAGTGTGATTCTACCACACATACATTTTCTTACGTTTGCATAGACAATAAAATGAATGACGTCATCTAAAACGTAAAATTTCGATGTATGAACAACTTTATAGACATAAACATGAATACATGGAATTAAGCGGTTGATTCTAATTTATGTTTTCATTTGAATCATTTACTTAATATGAAATTATAACAAATTTGCATAACAGAATGAAATGTTATAAAATAATTGCATAATGTTAAACCAGACTACACTTCAAAACCTTCAAATGAATTGTTTAACCATTACTTTCATATTGTTATTTGGACTACTTTGGTACTGCTTTTTGACATTTTAGCAATGAATAAATGATGATTACACCTATCTGTTTGCATTTTTCTTTATATATTGTATATCTTTTTAAGAAATAGTGTTAGGGTTAGGTTTAGTGTGAGATTAGCAGCTCAAAAGTACTATTTACAGTAGAAATACAAATAAATAAATTACGTCATCCCATTAACTCATGTTATAAGTGGGTGTCTCAGCTCTGTTGCTAAAATAAAATGTCCCTGTCTCTATAATTTTTTTCCCTCTGGTTGGGTTTCCTTGAATGTGTAACTGGGTTGCAATAGTGGAGGGTTTGCTTTGGCTTTGCTGCTTTGTTTCATTTCCATTTTCAGGAAGGTGACTAATGCACAGATGTTTCCAGAAAACACAGCGATGGACTGTTCAAATAGTTTCCAATTCGTCATGTCATTTTTCATCAGACCCTTGCAGTATGATAAGTGAGCATTTGGTATTTTGCTGTGCCCCAGTAATACAAAACAGATGCTCATTTGCATTTGTATAGTGTATGTATTTGTATCTGAGCATTGTTAAATTATTTCAAGTTGTTTGGGCCTCATTCATTGAAAAAGGAATGGAATTATTCTTACGCAAATTCTTGAATGTTACATTTTAGGAGTCTGTTCTACAAAGACAATTGTTCTGCCCTGAAAGCATGTGGTTTATTTATTTATTTTTAAATGATAAAATGTTTCCTCTCATCTCAGTTAAATGTGTCACGGTCAACTATAAGTATAAGCCATTCATAGACTGACTTTCTGAAGAGTCTAAACACAGCGACTCTCATTTGTCCCATTTTTTTCACTTAGTCCTGGAGACAATTTGTTCTTCACTAGCAACTATGATGAGATGTGATGTCAAAAACAGGAGACACAGAATACTATAAATCCATTTTATCCTTTTAAGATTCTTAAGAGTCTTGCTCCAAATGAAAGCAGTTCACAGTGAAAGATTTTAAAGATGAAACTGCCTGGATTTGATGTATGAATTATATATTACACATATTATATCTTTAATGCATTACACATAAGCAATTACATTTTGAAAATGAATATTTAACTTTGAATGCAAAGAAATATAAATATATGCATATAATACAAGCTTTAGAATATAAAAAACTGCTTTTACAACTGCTAAACGCACAAGTTTACTTTTAAGCTCTTTGTGACCCTATAGAAATAATTAACTGAATAAATTCAGTTCATTCACTTGCATTTATATAGTCAGATAATATAATATAACATTCTCCAACTTTCATGGCAGCCATGGTGTTTTTTCCTGCCTCAGAAATGTGTTTAAAAGCATGATATTTTTCATAACAATCTTTTAATTTTCAGCACAAAATGAATTGTGCAGACTCTCGCGAGGAGTCTACACACACACACACACACACACACACACACACACACACACACATACAGATATACAGACAGACAGATATATTTATTTATAGAACCTAAAGGTTATTTATATTACATATTATCTGTATACATTTATATTTATTGTATTTCTTTCTTTAACTATAATTGTTCATGTGTAATGGACCGAGGGACTCTTTTGGACTCTTCTGTTGTAAACTTCTTTAATTTGAAGCAAGAGAAACTGGGGAGTGACTTTACTGTATCAGAGATGCGTCACTTTGCTGACAGCTG